GTATACCAGTAGTCTGATACAATATTTACAGTTTGAAAGGGTGTTAAATGAAATTTGGTGATGATTAATGGTTTTTGTGTTAATGTAATAGCAGTTACAGGACCGGTCAAATTTGACAGCGAACACCAAAGTAAGGGGAGGGGGGGGGAAACGAAGACAATAGGAGGTTAAGAAAGTCACTTTATTGATATTTCTTTCTTTTGTTATTATTTGCATTGCAGTTGATATTGAGGTGACCCAAAAGTAACAGAAGGTAATAAGGTAAGATTATTTGTATAGTGTAACATTTAGATTAGTTTACTGATTACAGTTTTTTCAGGTAATAAGTCATTGTAATGGAATAATACATTTTAAAAGTTACCCTCTCAAACCTGTATTTAAAAAAACTCTATAAATGAGTCAGATTCAGAGTTAATTATTTCAGCTAAAATACTGGAAAGTTTCAGAAAGTAAAAAATAAAATAAAAAAAGAGTTGCAGGAATAGGTAAGACAGTTTGTAGTGGCAATCTCATTATGAAAGTTAGGCTGCCTGCTTTACAAGATAAATACAGCTTGTTGTCAAATCACAAAGTTTATTTAAAATGTCAAGACTCACCAGCAGTGCTGCATTCAGTCCTTCTGGAATCTGTGGACAGTCTTCCTCACTCCTCAGCTGCTGCTTGCTTGCACACTAAGCACCTTCTGTCGTGCGCACTCCGCGAAAGTTCACGTGTATTCCAACCCCCCCCCCCCCCTCTCCCCCTCTATGACAGTGCGTGTGTTTGAGTGTGTGCGTGCGTGCGTGTCAATGAAAACATGGTGAATTTTGTGTGGTTATGAACTATCGGGAATTAGAACAACGGAGTGGGGAAGATTGGCGAAAAAAAGGGAATTTCTTATTTAATTTTTTTGTTTGATTGCATGGAGTCTGCCATGGAGTACACTATTGATCTGCTGTTAATTGATCAATCATGCCATACCAACATTTTTAGGATAAATACATGCATTCATTGTTTGATAAAATGTTACAAACATTGATTTTTTTGTTCAGAATTTGTTTAATTAGCTTTAAAACTTTGTATTTGTTTTTGTATTTATTTATTTTAATTCGGTTTATTCATTACTAAATCTAGTTATTTATTTGACCATTTATGCATCATTTACCCTTTGCCTTTCTGGCCCTATTATTTTTTATGAATATATCTGGTTGTATATATTGCTCATCTTCCATAAAAGAAAAAAATGTATTTGAATTTGTGTTTTATTTGAGTTTGATGCATACACATACTGTACTGTATGATGATTGTTGAAAAGGCACTTTTACCAAGGCCAGCACGACCAGTTGGTAGAGGCTCATAAAAACAAAACTGTGTGGTCAGTAAAAAAAATTAAAATGGTTATTTGTGTCCTATTTGATAAAAAAATGCAAAGAAATAATTTGTCCATAGATTTCTTCTTGGTCTGGCAATTAAAGGGTTAACATATGATTATTTCTCTGCCCCTAGTTCGTTCCTCGCAGATTCTTCAGTCTCATCAGCCTCATCTTTCCATCAGTCCCAGTCAACGCATCAGCCTCCAGCACACTTTCAGTGTCTGACTCCATAGAGATATTGTCCTGATGCTGTACAAGGGTGATGCCCCATGGTGATGCCCCATGATAAAAAAATGACCCCTGTAGAGTCTGAGTGCCACTGACCTCTACATGTCACTTGTTAGTTGCTTTTACCTTAAAGCGACTTACATACACTCAACTGTGGACAATCCTCACAGGAGCTATTTGGGGTGAAGCCCAGGGACACAACGACATGCTGACTGCAGTGGAGATTGAACCAGTGCCCCCCTGATCCGAAGATCAACGCACGATCAGCCACAGCCTCCCTAGCCAAATTATGTCTGTCATTAATGTTACATCACCCCTTATAACAATTTTCTTTCCTTTATTTATTCTCTTTTCTCTTCTCTTGACTGAATTAAAAAGTCCAGTCTTTAAGTAATATTTGAAGTCCTTTTCCTGCACCTTTTTAAGGCTATGTTTGCAATATGTATTCAAAGGTCACTTATTTAAATAAATCAATATCTGAGGTTAGTAAACAGATACTGCCTTTATCTAGAGAGCCAATGACACCCATGAAGAATTGATCCTCCTGCAAATCTTTTAGCTGTATTGATAACATTGCCATGTGTTTTCAAATTGAAAATAAGGCACTATCAGCCCAGAACATTATACAAAATATATATATATTTTAAAAGGGACCCGTAAGGCTTAATCAATGTTATAGATCTTTATATAATATCAATATTATAATAAACTTCAACCAAAGTCAATTTCAGGAGTGCTGTTTAACATAGTTTACGTTCAATTTAAACTATTTTAGTCTTATATCGACTCAACCTTTTTAAATAATTTACTTTAAAGGGGACCTATCATGCAAAATGCACTTTTGTACGTCTTTTATACATGAATATGTGTCCCCGGTGTTCCAGGGAACTCACCAAGTGTCAGAAAACACAACCCTCTCTATTTTCCTCCATACCCAAATCTCTAAAAAAGGGGCTGCAACGGATCTGATACAGACTGATCCAGATTTGAACACTTCTATGTCGTCACAGAAGTGGCGCTACGGCTATTGGGCCAACTCTCCACCTATCAGGGGAATGTGGGGTTGGGCCACGGCCGGCCATTGCCGCTCGAAAGCGCTGGAGATGCTGTAGTACATATGCCAGGCCTGTAAGTGGCGCTGTAGTCTGCCACAAAAGCAGCGAAGAAGACTTCCCGCCCATAGTTACCATCGTTACCCTTCTGTTTATTCTCCGCTGTGGCTTTTTTTCTCCCTCCCCGAGGCAAGCATTTGCTCCCGCTGCTTTAATTCAATGCAATCCCTCCCCGTCGAGGCAAGCACTGTAATTCTCTCCGGTTAGTCCACCAGCAGATGACAAACACCCACCTCTCCGCCTCTTCCAAGGAACTAGGGGACCGTGCGGCAGAGTTTCAGTTTCAGTTTCTTTCGCCGGTCAAGATGTCCGTTAAAGTTTAAATCTTCCGGACAAAATTAGAAAAGTGCCGGTCAAAGGTCTTCTTTGTTATTTATTGAGCTTTAAAACAAATGAATAACGACTCTATATAATAATATAATAAAACACGGAGGACGGAGATCTATTTTTCTCCCCCTCTTGACTTGATCAGAGCACGGCTCCCCTCTCCTGCAGGGGGGCGTGGTCAGCTGCAGCTCACAAAATCAGCCCCGTAGACAGCAAACAGCACATAGAGCGAAATGAGGCATGGCTAAAATGTGTTTGGTATTTTGAAAACAGAAACGTATAAATATACCTTATAATATAGGTATGGCCCTACAATATATAATTTAAATATAGCATGATAGGTCCACTTTAAACAAGATGATGCCAGTTGTCTCTACTGTGACATGTTTCCATGCTTTAGTGTTTAAAAACTATTTTAATTGTCTTATTCTGCCTGTGCTGCAGCACTCCTTTCACCCTCTGTCTCAAACCAGAGCCCAGCTCTGTTGTGATTGGTGAACCACTAAGAGATGTCCCTGTTATGTACACTGTGTTGGAGCGTTAACCAATAGAAGCGTGAGTGTTATGTAGTGATGCCATATCTCACAAAGGTAAACAAAGGACTTCAATGGAGGCGTTTCAGGCACGGTCCCCTCGTTCCTTGGAAGAGGCGGAGAGGTGGGTGTTTGTCATCTGCTGGTGGACTAACCGGAGAGAATTACAGTGCTTGCCTCGACGGGGAGGGATTGCATTGAATTAAAGCAGCGGGAGCAAACGCTTGCCTCGGGGAGGGAGAAAAAAAGCCACAGCGGAGAATAAACAGAAGGGTAACCATGGTAACTATGGGCGGGAAGTCTTCTTCGCTGCTTTTGTGGCAGACTACAGCGCCACTTACAGGCCTGGCATATGTACTACAGCGTCTCCAGCGCTTTCGAGCCGTCCGTGGCCCCACCCCACATTCCCTTGATAGGTGGAGAGTTGGCCCAATAGCCGTAGCGCCACTTCTGTGACGTCATTGAAGTGTTCAAATCTGGATCAGTCTGTATCAGATCCGTTGCAGCCCCTTTTTTAGAGATTTGGGTATGGAGGAAAATAGAGAGGGTTGTGTTTTCTGACACTTGGTGAGTTCCCTGGAACACCGGGGACACATATTCATGTATAAAAGACGTACAAAAGTGCATTTTGCATGATAGGTCCCCTTTAACTGTTTGAGTTTTCTTTGATTTTGGAGCTGAATGCTGGTCATTGGAGAAATGAGAAGTGGCTTTAACCCTGCAGGAGAAGTTTGAAAGGTTTATAGATGTTGGGTTTGATGTATGATAAGGAAACACCAAAAAGTGAATAAAAGGTAAACATTTCAATACATTTGGGACAAAATGTAAGTGTAAAATGGATATTAAAAAACGTTATAGAGTAAAAAGGGGAAATAAACTATATACATTTTCAGATGTGTGCAGTTAAGCTCAAATGGTTTTGTAAAATCTACAACAGGAAACTGCTGAAACCCTCACAGACTGAGGGAAACCACAGTTGTCAGCCTGTTCTCTTTTCCTGTACTCTCATACGTCAATTTCTGCTCTGCCTTTGCTTTCTTCAGAATTACGTTTAATAAAAGTCTTCCCCTATGAGAGTAGTCATTGACTGTACTCTTGCATATCAGAAATCGTGAAAGTTTAATAACCACTGCTCAAATAATGTTGAATTGATTTGCAGTGCTGATAACGTCCCACAACCTAAAAGTATATAATGGATGAAAGGCATGCTGTTTATTTGAAATGAAATTATTCTCAAATACTGTAAATGTATCCCCTGGGAACGTAGGATGTAATACCTTTGCAAATGTACTGTAATGGCAAATTGCAAATAAGATTCTGAGATATATGGATATGATGAATAAATGACCGATATAGTCTTTTAGATATTTTGACATGGTGGTGTAAGGAAAACAGATTCCCTAAGGCGCCGTTTACACGAGGAGAAAACTGCTTGTATCTGTGTGCTGCCTATTTCTATGTTTATAGAGTTGGGACATGTTTTTTGGCTCAGAGTGAGCGCTCCTTGGTTTTGTTGGTTTGCTGGGGGCTTGTCAGAGTGAGCGCTTGCTGCTTTGCGAGGATCTTTGTAAACGGAGCACGGAGATCAACACATGGAGCAGAGACGTCATGTAAACTGTGTTCGTGTCTGTGATGCTTGAGCCTTGGAGACTATTTGTCTGTGAGTTATTCATGTGCAGAATGTTTGAAGTGTGTAACTTTTGGTCTGAAGCTAGTTTAATGTGTGCTAATTTAGCTAATGGTGATCTGTGCTATTTCTAGCTAATAGTGATGCTAATGATAGCTAATTCCTTTAATAGGAGTATGTGTGTCGTTTGTACAATGCTACTTATATGTTATGTAAAGCCTGCATACTTATATGTGTTTTATTTCTGTATTGTTACAGTTTTACAAAGTAAAAGAAGAACAGTAAAGTCAAGAAAGAAAACCATGCATCTTTATTGGAGGACTTTTAAATGTTAGCTAACTGTCTAGCTACGCATAGGGATACGCGCTGTAAGGGCAGAATAGTAAAAAGACAAGAGCACGGCGGGTTCAAGTAATAGTACACTACACAGCCAACATGAGTCTACGCTCAGGGAAAAACTATAATAATGAAGACACCACTACGCACAAAGAAGCAAGTGGAGAACAGCAAGCAGAGACTGTGGATCAAACAGCCAAGTGGCAAGAACATCCTCAAGCCTCTGATGCTAAGTCATATTCATCCAGAGCAGCCTCTAGATCGTCTCAGCGATCATCAGCAACAAGTTCGTCAGCCACGAAAGCCTATGCCAAGGCAAAAGCAGCTCATGCTCAATTAGCTTATGCTGAAAAAGAAGCTGACGTGATGAAACAGAAGGCAGACCTGGAAAAGCAAAAAGCTGACTTTGACGCCAGTCTACATCTGCTCCAGTGCCAAAGAGCTGCAGCTGCAGCTGAAGCTGAAGCTGCAGTTTATGAAGAAGCAGATGCTGAAAGCGTGAAGCTAAGTCGAGAACCCATTGTTGAAGGTGAGCGCTTCAGTGCAGTCCAACGCACTTCCAAATATGTTCAAGCTCAGTCTCAGTACACCTGTTCCGGAACGCATCATACACAGGTAGCAGTGGAGGCACAGGAAAGAAAAATAAAGACGTTTGAACCACCTCAAGCTAAGTCAGTCTACAAAGACTTAAAAAATGAACCGACATCAAATACTTACCCTCACAGTACTCCGAAGCATGCTGATCAACAGTATGAGTCACAAAGTGCACAAGACTTCGCAAGATACCTCATCAGAAAAGAAATGGTGAGTGCAGGTCTTCTTCAATTCGATGACAAGCCTGAAAATTACTGGTCGTGGAAAGCCTCCTTTATAAGTGCCACTAAGGACTTGAATCTCACAGCCAGAGAAGAGCTAGATTTGATGACTAAGTGGCTAGGGCCCGACTCCATGCAACAAGCAAAGAGAATTCGTGCAGTACACGTACTCAATCCTGCAGCAGGTGTGAACATGGTCTGGCAACGTCTTGAAGAGTGTTATGGGGCGCCAGAGGTCATTGAAGACGCACTGCTCAAGAAAATAGAACACTTTCCGAAGCTCACCAACAAAGACAATGCTAAACTGAGAGAACTCGGCGACATTCTCCTCGAACTTGAGTGTGCTAAGGACGAAGGTGCTCTGCCAGGGCTTTCGTACCTAGATACAGCTCGTGGGGTAAGAGAAATAGTGGAAAAGCTTCCCTATAATCTGCAAGAGAGGTGGACCAGCATTGGAAGCAAGTACAAGGAGGATTACAGAGTAGCCTTCCCTCCTTTCTCTGTATTCGCCAAGTTTGTCCAGCAACAAGCAAAGATTAAGAACGATCCAAGCTTTATTATATCCACACCAAGCAACAAAGCCTCTGTGACTGTACACAAAACAGACATCCCAGAAGAGCCAGCAGACACCCAAAGCAGTCCTACTTTTAAAAAATTGGATGAGCCAGATCGCCAGTGTCCAATTCACAAGAAGCCACACCCACTGAAAAAATGTAAGCTCTTTAGAGAGAAAACTCTTGAAGACCGCAAAGCATATCTCAGAGACAATCGCATCTGTTATAGATGTTGCGGTTCTTTTCAACACATGGCAAAAGATTGCAAACTGACTGTCAAATGCTTCGAGTGCAACAGTGACAGACACATCGCCGCACTGCATCCAGGCCCTCCTCCTTTAAACGCTCAGAGTGCTACGGCTGGGAAAGACGAAAGCGGGGAGCAAAGTGAAAGCTCATCTTCATCAGTGACCTCAAAGTGTACGGAGGTTTGTGGGGAGGGTTATAGCTCACGCTCATGTTCCAAAATCATCTTGGTGAAAGCATATCCTGCAGGGGAAAAGGAGAAGGCAATGAAGATGTATGCAGTGTTGGACGAACAAAGTAACAAGTCACTAGCCAAGACAGAGTTCTTCAACCTCTTTGAAGTTAAAGGTAACTCCACTCCATACACCCTGAACACCTGTTCTGGGAAGTCAGAGACTTCAGGTAGGAGAGCCGTTAATTTTGTCATTGAGTCTGTGGAGGGGAAAGTACAGCTTCCCTTACCACCCTTAATTGAGTGTGACATGGTGCCAGATGAAAGAGCAGAAATTCCCTCTCCAGAGATTGCACTACATCACCTACACCTACAGCCAGTTGCTAACAAGATTCATCCAGTAGATCAAAACGCTCCTATCCTTCTGCTCTTAGGGAGAGACATCCTAAGGGTGCACAAAGTACGTGAGCAAATCAATGGACCGCACAATGCACCTTACGCACAACGGCTAGACCTAGGCTGGGTCATTGTGGGAGAAGTATGCTTGGGGATAGCTCACAGACCATCAGAGGTCAATGTCTACAAGACCAACATACTGCACAACGGTCGCACATCTTATCTCAGTCCATGTCCAAACAGTATTCATGTTAAAGAAGACTTCAGTGGCATGACACAGCATCCTAGTCTCACCTTTGCACTGCGATTACAGACAATCTCGGGTGTTCGGTGTTCGTCAGGTCCAAAGATGACAACAAGATCGCACTCTCAATAGACGACAAAGCTTTCCTTGCAATCATGGATGCAGAGGTCTACCAAGACGAAGGAAACAGCTGGGTAGCTCCTTTACCATTCAGCTCTCCTAGACGACGCCTTCCAAGCAACAGGGAACACGCGTTGAAACGTCTCTTCTCTTTACGAAAATCTCTTGAGAAAAGGCCAGAAATGAAAGAACATTACATCAAGTTCATGCAAAAGATGCTGGACAATGACCAAGCTGAGCCTGCGCCACCTTTGGTCAAAGGAAAAGAACACTGGTACCTACCAACATTCGGTGTGTATCACCCACAAAAGCCAAACCAAATACGAGTTGTGTTCGACTCAAGTGCTGAATGTGAGGGAACATCTCTAAACGATGTGCTCCTTAGTGGACCAGACTTGAACAACACCCTGTTGGGAGTCCTGTTACGGTTCCGAAAAGAGCCCGTAGCCATTACAGCTGATGTGGAACAAATGTTTTATTGCTTTCTCGTACGTGAAGACCACAGGGATTATCTTCGGTACCTTTGGTATGAAGACAACGACATCACCAAACAAGTGGTTGAGTACAGGATGAAAGTCCATGTTTTCGGTAACAGCCCTTCACCTGCTGTAGCTATCTACTGCATGAGACAAGCAGCTAAAAAGGGCGAAAAAGAACATGGTATGGATGCAAGACAGTACGTTGAGAGGCAGTTTTACGTGGATGATGGTCTCACCTCTGTTGCTACACCCGAAGAGGCAATAGATCTCCTCAAACGAACCCAGGAGATGTTAGCAGAGTCCAACCTGCGACTGCACAAACTTGCATCAAACAGAAACCAGGTAATGGAAGCCTTTGCAGCAGAGGACAGGGCAAAAGACCTGAAGGATCTGGACCTCGGTGTGGATCCTCTCCCTTTGCAGAGAAGCCTTGGACTTTCCTGGAACCTGGAAACAGACAGTTTCACTTACCTGGTGTCCCGTGAAGAGAAACCATTCACACGAAGAGGTGTGCTGTCAACTGTGAACAGTTTGTATGACCCTTTGGGGTTTGTAGCTCCTATAACAATGAAAGGGAAAGCTCTAGTCCGAGAACTGTCATCTGAACAGAGTGAGTGGGATGCTCCTCTCCTCCCAAAAATGGAAACAGAGTGGAACCAGTGGAAGGACTCACTGAAGGCTCTTGAAGAGCTGCACATCAAGAGGTGTTACATTCCAATCTCACTTGCCTCAACACAGAGAAAGGAACTGTGCATCTTCTCAGATGCTTCCACTATTGCCATAGGAGCTGTGGCGTACTTGAGAGCTGCTGATGTTGAAGGTCATTATCATGTTGGATTTGTCATGGGGAAGTCAAAATTGGCACCTCGCCCTGCCCACACTGTTCCACGTCTGGAGCTCTGTGCAGCTGTGCTAGCTGTGGAACTTTACGAGCTGATCCGAGATGAGATAGACATTGAAGTAGATGCAGTGAAGTTCTTCACTGACAGCAAGATTGTGCTTGGATATATACACAACTGCACAAGAAGGTTTTACATGTATGTTTCCAACAGAGTGACTCAGATAAGGAGATCCTCCAACCCAGACCAATGGTTCTATGTGCCAACAGACCTGAATCCTGCGGATCATGCCACCAGGTCTATACCTGCAGCTCAACTCCAACACAGCAGCTGGCTCCCAGGTCCGGCCTTCCTGTATCAGGATACATCAGTAGAGACACTTGAACCTTACCTCTTCAGCCTTATTGAGCCTGAAGCCGACAACGAGATACGTCCTGAAGTGTCTACACTGGCAACCAAGGTATCAGAGTTCATGTTGAGCTCTCAACACTTTGAGCGATGCTCAAGCTGGCAAAAGCTCTGTCAGATCATAGCCAGACTCATTCATGTTGCCGCTTCCTTCAAAAGCAAGGCTGACGAAGCAAGAAAGAAAGGATGGGAATGTTTCGGAGAAACAATCAGCATAAGTGAACTCTCACAAGCCAAGGTTTTGATCATCCGCTCTGTCCAGCACAAGGCCTTCAAAGAGGAATTCAAATGTCTTGAAGACGGACAGACTTGGTCCAAGCAAAACACACTTGAGAAGCTCAATCCATTTGTGGATAAAGATGGTCTTCTTCGTGTTGGAGGTCGTCTTTCATTGGCTGAGCTGTCAGAAGAAGAAAAACACCCTCTGATCATTCCACGCAATCATCACATCGCCACACTGCTTGTCAGATACTTCCATGAAAAAGTAGCTCACCAAGGGCGACACTTTACAGAAGGAGCTATTCGAGCAGCTGGATACTGGATAGTTGGGAGTAAACATCTGGTATCTTCTGTCATCCACAAGTGTGTTACCTGCCGCAAATTGCGAGGAAGGTTGGAAGATCAGAAGATGGCGGATCTGCCAGCTGACAGACTAACACCCGAACCTCCGTTCACCAATGTTGGACTGGATGTTTTTGGGCCGTGGTTGGTCATGACACGACGCACAAGAGGAGGGGCTGCAGACAGCAAACGCTGGGCTTTGCTCTTCACATGCATGTCTACCAGAGCGGTGCATATTGAACTGATTGAATCCATGTCAACAGACAGTTTTATCAATGCCTTAAGAAGATTTTTCTCTGTTCGTGGTCCAGCAAAGCTCCTGCGCTCTGACAGAGGGACTAACTTCGTCGGGGCTTCAAAAGAGTTAAGGATTAACACAGACGACACATTAATCAGGAAGTACCTCCAGGAGAAAGGATGCTCTTGGGTTTTCAACCCCCCTCATGCCTCCCACATGGGTGGTTCCTGGGAGCGGCTCATCGGAGTAGCCAGGCGCATTCTGGATGCAATGTTGCTTCAGACGGGATCAGTACGTCTTACACATGAGGTTTTGAGCACTTTCATGGCAGAGGTGATGGCGATCATCAACGCAAGACCCCTTGTGTCTGTGTCTACTGACCCAGATATGCCTGCAGTTCTAACCCCCTCAATGCTCCTGACTCAAAAAATGAGTGCAGTTTCAGCACCTCCTGGAAACTTCGATACAGCTCAGTTGTTCGGAAAGCAATGGAAGCAAGTTCAGTGCCTTGCCGACACCTTTTGGAAGAGATGGAAAGGAGAGTATCTGTCTACTCTGCAGAGCCGCAGGAAGTGGACGCAAGACAAGCCGAACGTCAAAGAAGGAGACGTCGTCCTTCTCAAAGACAGTCAAGCCCATAGGAACGAATGGCCAATGGGATTGGTTGTTAAGACTTTTCCAAGCAGTGACAAGAGGGTCCGCAAAGTAGAAGTGCGGATTGTGAAGGACGGGACAGCCAAGGTGTTCCTTAGGCCTGTAACAGAAATTGTTGTCCTTCTTGCAGAGTCTTAGAGAAAGAACTCTTAATATGTTGTTTTCAGTGGACATTCCCTTTCAAGTTCAATTGTATTTGTCGTGATATAATGTTATTATCTCAAGCGGGGAGTGTGCTGCCTATTTCTATGTTTATAGAGTTGGGACATGTTTTTTGGCTCAGAGTGAGCGCTCCTTGGTTTTGTTGGTTTGCTGGGGGCTTGTCAGAGTGAGCGCTTGCTGCTTTGCGAGGATCTTTGTAAACGGAGCACGGAGATCAACACATGGAGCAGAGACGTCATGTAAACTGTGTTCGTGTCTGTGATGCTTGAGCCTTGGAGACTATTTGTCTGTGAGTTATTCATGTGCAGAATGTTTGAAGTGTGTAACTTTTGGTCTGAAGCTAGTTTAATGTGTGCTAATTTAGCTAATGGTGATCTGTGCTATTTCTAGCTAATAGTGATGCTAATGATAGCTAATTCCTTTAATAGGAGTATGTGTGTCGTTTGTACAATGCTACTTATATGTTATGTAAAGCCTGCATACTTATATGTGTTTTATTTCTGTATTGTTACAGTTTTACAAAGTAAAAGAAGAACAGTAAAGTCAAGAAAGAAAACCATGCATCTTTATTGGAGGACTTTTAAATGTTAGCTAACTGTCTAGCTACGCATAGGGATACGCGCTGTAAGGGCAGAATAATCTGCATAGTTTCGCGTGCGTATAGCCCTATTATTTACACGATAACGGGTCCCAAGGTGGATAGATTTGCAAACGAAACGCTCTGGGGGGTCAACCGAGTCCGTGTAATCACCTCTATACGAATATTTCCTGAAAAAATAACGATAGCCCCACCTTTCCCCACCTCTCCTGCTCACTGCTGTAGCATGGCTGTGTTAATTAAACGCACAAGGGGTTCTTGAATGAAATAATATTATAAAAGGCAAACCAGAATTGTTAACGCCCAATATACTCCTTAAACAAAATAAACAGAGTCAGATTTCATGCATTGATCCATTATATTGACAATTTTCCAGCCAAACAACACAAACAAAATTAAACAGTCCGCTCTGCGATACACCAAACTTGTCTTTACTGCCTAATCCAGGCCATTATTGTTCATTGCTCCTGCGCCCGTCGGCGGCAAAAAGAGAAATGTTTATAATCCACACAAAAAAAGGAAACACGAGGACCGGCGTGTCCCAGAGGAGCGATCTCACCCGGTGTTTGTAGAGAATATCTCTCTTTCTGAGCGCGTCCTCTCCACGGAGACGTGCTTCTTGGTCGGTCGATGCAATATCCACAGATTCGGTTTCTTTCAGTTAACTTCCCCGTTGCATGTATCCATATGCTGAGGAAATTACTATATCCCGCTGAATACCAGCAATCGCCACACACACTTCCTCCTGTCAGTAGCTACTGCTAGTGCTACTGCTACTGACCATGCTACAGATATTAGTGCAAAATCTACAGCTCCTCTACCACAACCATCAGCAACAAGTGGACATGGAGAATTACATGAACTACATGTTGCTAAATACACCGCGGGGCATAAACAGACGGGTAGCCATAGCAACATTGCTGCGGGGCTGCTCTGGGCTGCTCTTCTTCGCTGCTTTTGGTGTATTTTGGCGGAAGTTACAGCGCCACTTACAGTCCCGGCATATGTACTCCAGCGTTTCCAGCGGTCTCGTTTGAACAGACACGTTAAATGAAACGAATGCATGTGAACGGAAGACTTTTTTGAATACGCATACTGTGCATAAACGCAAACGTTCCCGTGTGAAAGAGGCCTAATATTTAATAGGTTCAACCCCCTAGCATACATTTGGATAGGTATTTTAGTTTTAATGTATTTATGACTGTTTCAGTTTGTTGGAAGAGATCTTGGCCTGGGCCAGTTGAAGAGTCCGCACCTCCTTCTCAATACTTTTTAACTTATTTCGCAGCATTAAAATTCAGCTTCAGAAGAAGTTGCTGGAGGTAGACAGAGATTTCGATGGAACTTTAACTCGTCAAAGACAGAAAACAAAGTCCGGGCAGACTCGGGGATCGTACTGCTAAACACACGTCGTATTAGCATTTTTATAGCCAAAGCCTTCTTGTTCCTTATTGGTTGACCTAGTTGAAGGATGATTAACACAATCCACGATTCTTTGTCGCAGACCCTCTTCCGCATATATACGTACATGTTACGCTTACACACACGTGTCGATTGTCATGGTCAGATTCCCTGCACTACATTGACCGACACTTGACATTGTTCGTTTTTATAGGGAGCTTTTATTTTTGTCCACTTAGTAACTTCGTACCTCATTAACTTCAGAGAATGTAAAGAATAGTTTACCTGGACCCAAGGGTGTAACTTTGGTTTGAGAAGTGGGGGGGACACAAAACAGGGGGTCCTCCGCAATGAAACATTTTCTCGATTTAATTCCATTTCCTGCCTTTCTACAAATATATTAGGGACTATAGTGTTAACAAATCCAAGAAAAATGTGTAGTGTATATAATGAGTGTGCACACTTATCTAGTATCCTATCCATGTGAACCTGTTTTACGACAGGAGAGAGCTCTCCCTCTCCTTATTGTTGAAACAGCTTCTAATCTCCGTTAGCTCCGGGCTAGCACCAGATGCTAACAACAACAACCCACGTAACTCTCTCAGTCTCTCTCTCAGTCTCTCTCTCTGTCTCTCTCTCTCTCTATATATTTGTCTGTCTCTCTCTCACTCTCTCAAAGTCCGACAGGAAAGAGCTCTCCCTCTCCTTATTGTTGAAACAGCTACTAATCTCCGTTAGCTCCGGGCTAGCACCAGATGCTAACAACAACCCACGTAACTCTCTCTGTCTCTCTCTCTCTATATATGTGTCTGTCTCTCTCTCAGTCTCTCAAAGTCCGACAGGAAAGAGCTCTCCCTCTCCTTATTGTTGAAACAGCTACTAATCTCCGTTAGCTCCGAGCTAGCACCAAATGCTAACAACAACCCCCTCTCTCTCTCTTTCTATCTCTCTCTCACAAGACGCGCTCGTGCCACACACACACACAGACGCTCCTCCTTGACGATGACCGCTTGCGTAAAAAAATAATAATAAACACATTTAAAAAGTGGGGGGGACACAAATGGGATTTTGAAAAGTGGGGGGGACATGTCCCCCCTGTCCCCAGTGGAAATTACGCCCATGCCTGGACCTACTAAAGGTGGCCTTTTAGTTTGACCTTGACGTGAGGTGTGTTTTATTCAACCTCGACACACACATACACACTGTATACAGACCTGTGACCAGCTTTAGCAGCAGAGCTCACTAGTACTCTCCTCTCATGAAGGTAAACACACATTCAAATAGAAACACTATTCTGACCTTGTTCACACCCTAACTCAACACTTCATTATTATACTGTATTATAGTATTTAAGTATTATACAACATATGTATTATTCCCTTTTATTTTCTAAAACGGAGCATTTCTCAAGGGAAGTTCTACTTCAACAAGTTGCACATATGACGAGATACTGTTGATAGTGTCGCATCTGCTCGTCTAAATCAGGAAACCCTGAACTTCCTGTGAACACAAGCACATACAGCTGAAACGCAGAAGTCAAAGAAGAAAGACCTGGTTTCACAGAAACAAATGATCGCAAAGAGGAGTTCTGCTGTGAAAAGTAAAAGGTAAAAGTAACAAATATCTTGATATAATGTTTACTATTAAATCTGTAAGTAGAAGCTGTGTGTCAAGAAGTGTCAGTTTTATAACCACAATACGATGTTGAGAATGTGCTGCGACGTTAAAGCTTGGCTTATAGCTGTAATTTATATTTGTTAATGTAAATTATTTGAAAAGTAAACAGATCTTCGTTCTTATCAAAGTAAGCTAAATATATTTGAATCAAATAAGGGATGGTGCAACCTTATTATAAATTATTTCAGGTTATTTTTAAGTTGACATACTGTGCTTCTCATTCAGCCACAGCCAACATGGTTTGTCTGACACAACGGGAATCCCCATAAATCTACATTTGACTTATTTAGAACAAATGTTTTGAGTCATGGTAGAGTTGTCGACAAATGTAACATTCAATTTGTATTTTAACAACATGGCAACACATTATACATCCAATAACAGTAAAAGTCTGAGCTTCAGTTGTGTAATTAGGCTTGTTATGCTTGCTTGTACAGAAAGGATTAGATGTATAAGTAAAAAATAAACAACAAACATTGTTAACAAATAACCACAGTGGTTACATACTGTAAAAAGTCAGCAAACAACAATTCTTTAATAAACTATTGATGCAATGTATGTAAATGTAATTTTTCTGTAGAATTGTAATGTTATAATATTTCAACTGAATTGAATTCATGAAGACTGAAAGTCTTGTTTTATAGCATTGTTACTTCCTGTGAGCAAAGATGATGCAACTTCAATAAACTCCTAGGAACAGGGTTTAATGAAAACTAAACAATGACTCAACTACCTGAAAAGTATAGTATAGATATATAGTATAGAAATATATTCACAAAAGCCAAAAACTATTTTTATGTATGAAATTGCTCAAATGATGTGACCCTATCGAGTCTGTAATCTAGATTTGTTCCTCAGAATTACCCATGGATCTCAGCGAGGAGGAGTCGGCCCCTCTGGTGATCAGAGAGCGGGGGGGCAGTCAGAGGTCCAGCTCTAGCACCAGTCCAAGTTTACAAGTTCACCTCTACTTCTTCCCAGCCACAAAGAACGCAACCATAATACATATTACAGCCGGCCAAATTTCTGCTGAAAATGTTTGCATCCAAGCAGGCAAAAAATGTGGTAAGATTTCACTGGATAACCATGACTTACTGTAGGGCTTCTCGTACCAAAGTGTATACATTAAACTGTGATATTCTATGTTAAAATATATAACTGCATGCTACATGACGTGCTCTCTTTCTCCAGGAATCTTACCAGTTCACCAAAGTCTTTTTGCTTTGGCATCCTCCGATCTCTCATTTTGGTATCCTCCATCGCACATGTTCAACACAGAAGAAAATCTACAAGTCCACTTTAGAGTGAGGTAGGTGTCTCATTTACCTTATACATTTAACACTAATATGTTTAAATCATTTATCGGATGGTATTTATTTCAGATTTTTTGGAAAGTCCAGGAATGAATAACTTTGTTGTTAAACTTACATAGTATATCAATGGGTACATTTTAAGAACTAGTCATAATGTCATGCTATGTGGAATTTGGATTTATTCCTGGTGAGCAGGTTTTCCTTTGAAAACTGGTTTGGACAAGGACCAAGAACATCGTACCGCTTCAGTCTGACCAGAGACAGAATCAGTCCAGTGCTTCACTACAGTGTCATTGACTATCTCTTTACTCAGGTACAGTATACAACATGTATTAACTCGCTTGAAAGTCCTTTCATGGTATATTTAACTAATATTAAATATAAAAAATATACCATTAATTAATTCATCAATGAGGTTGTAAGCTATGCTAAATCTTTATCACCCACATTTTTTGAAAATGCAGTTGCATGAAATGGATATATCATGAAGACTGTGCTGTCCATTTCTTTTGGGATAAAGTTGCGAAGTGACTTTATTGCTAGTGAGGCAGGAGTGTGCCCACCTCTGAGTGCCCAGGAGGAATGCCTCAGCCTGGCCGTGCTGGACTTGTGGAGAATGGCTAAGGAGCGTCATCAGAG